GAGCGGGAACGTTGTTTTTGCTGGGGGCGGCGCAGATGAGAAAAAGAGTAGCGAGCCAGTCCAAGGTAAAACGGGAGGATGTCTCGAGCGGGAGCGCTGGTGTTGATGGGACGGCGGCTGTCGGCGGCGAGGAAGAGCAGCGGCCCTGAGTAAAAAAAGGAGGACGTCTCGGGCGGGAGCGTTGTTGTTGTTGGGGGGCCGGTTTTGGCGCCCCCCCGAACCGCTCGAGCGGGAGCCTCATTTTCAATGAAAGTGTAGCCGGCGCCGAGCCGAGAGCGCCAAAGCGCCTGGGGGTCTAAGAATAATGATTGCAGTTCATCAACAACAGCAACAACAACAACAACAACAACAACAATCATTTTACCCGAACGCGTGGTGTTCTCCCCAGTGCCAGGGTTTTCATACGACACCAGGCAATACCCCCACTTCGTGGGGGGGCATTACAAGCTCTACCAAATATCCAAACGACTCTTCGCGACCACCCAAAACCAGCTTCCCGCCCTATGACGTTGGGACACTTCACTTCGTGGCGTGCGGACGACCGTGGCTACTACACTGGCGTGGGGTACACACCCACAGAACTTAAGAACCCAATGGTTTTTGGAGATTTCGGCGTGCGCGCGCGAAGAAAAACGAATGTGTCCCGCATGGTATTATTTGACAGGGATGATGGCCCTGGCAGGTGCGCAACCGTTGTCGCAGAAGTTCGAAAAAGTTGCTCGCAAAAGCCCGTTTGACAGAAATGTTTAAAGTGTTGGGTTTCCTACGAATCCGCAAGAGCGCGCGGGATGAGATTTTGACATTTTTTTGTTGAAAACCATTGGTTTTTTGATGTTTTTATGTTAAAATCGCTCCGAACACTAAGCTTTTGGAAGGATTTCGTCTTGCGCGCGCGAATGTCCACTTTACCTTATTTTTTTGCAAGGGATTCTTGAAATTTGATTATATTAGAACAAGAAATGTCATTTTATAGTGTTTTTTTGCAAGGGAAAACGGATTACAACAAAACAGCCGGATCTTGATGACATCGTATTACCTGAGGCTTCCTCACGAAAATGATGAAAATGTAGCTGCGGCCTAGGCGGCGCAGGGGGCCGTGCACCAGGGGTCCCAACAATAATTATTCTTTAGAATTAATAATGTTCAACAACAACAACAACAACAACAACAACAGTCGCAGCAGCAACAACAACATCAACAGCACCAGCAGCAGCAGCAGCAACAACAACACCAGCAACAACAAGAGCACCACCAACAACAACACCAACAACAACAATAAGTTTACCCTCATGCGCGATGTTTCCACACGAAGCATGCAACCATCATGATAACCATCCACATCATGGGGGACTCTTGTTCTATAGCGGGGTCCGTTATTCCCATTCCCAGATCTCCCGCCCAATGAGTTCTTGCAAACACCTCCTCCGAGGAATTTCAACATATCCCGCCTCGAAAGCACATGCCCGCGCCTTGCTGCGCCGATGTGAGACCGCCAGTGGAACCCCAGCGAAGGGTAAAGCACAATGAAATATCGAACGACAGGATTGCCTTGGTGGGGATGGGGGCTGTCGGCGGTGAGGCAAGGACCCAGTCCTGAATAGAAAGGGAGGAAGTCTCGAGCAGGGCTGCTGTTGTTGCTGGGAGCGGCGCCAATGCTGAAGAGAGTAGGGCGCCAGTCCAGCGTAAAACAAAACGAAGTCTCGAGCGGGAACGCTGCTTTTGTTGGGGCGGCGGCTTTCGGCGGCGAGGAGGGACACCGCCTTGAGTAAGAAAGGAGGAAGCATCGAGCGGGTGCCGTGGTTTAGTCGAGACGGGGGCTGTCGGCGGCGAGGAACAACACCGTCCCGAGGAAAAGGAGAGGAAATCTCGTGCGGGAGCGTTGTTCTTGCTGGGAGCGGCGCCAATTCAAAAGAGAATAGGGTGCCAGTCCAGCGTAAAACGGAAGGAATTCTCGGGCGGGAGCGCTGGTTTTGTCGGGGCGGCGGCTTTCGGCGGCGAGCAGGAACACCGCCTTGAGTAAGAAGGAAGGAAGCATCGAGCGGGAGCTGTGGTTTGTCGGGACGGGGGCTGTCGGCGGCGAGGAACAGCACCGTCCCAAGGAAAAGGAGAGGGAATCTCGTGCGGGAGCGTTGTTCTTGCTGGGAGCGGCGCCAATCAAAAAGAGAGTAGGGCGCCAGTCCAGCGTAAAACGGAAGGAAGTCTCGGGCGGGAGCGCTGGTTTTGTCGGGGCGGCGGTTTTCGGCGGCGAGGAGGAGCACCGCCTTGAGCAAACAAGGGAGGAAACCTCGAGCGGGAGCGTTGTTTTTGCTGGGGGCGGCGCCGATGAGAGAAAGACTAGCGCGCCAGTCCAAGGTAAAACGGGAGGAAGTCTCGAGCGGGAGCGCTGGTTTTGTTAGGACGGCGGCTTTCGGCGGCGAGCAAGAACACCAGCCCTGAGTAAAAAAGGGAGGAAGTCTCGAGCGGGAGCGTTGTTGTTGTGGGGGGACGGTTTTGGCGAGCGTGACGCTCATTTTCAATGAAAACTTAGCCGGCACCTCGGCGAGAGCGCCAGAGCGCCTTTCAGGTGTCCAACAGTAATAACTGACTAGAAATTCACATGCTTCAACAACAACAACAACAACAACAACAACAACAACAACAACAACGACAACAACGACGACGACGACGACAACAACGACGACGACAACAACAACAACAACAACAACAACAACAACAACAACAACAACAACAACAACAAACAACAACAGCAACAACAACAACAACAACAACAACAACAACAACAACAACACCCTTTAGAGGAAGCTGCAAGGGACACTCCACCGGGCGCGCGCTGCACCGCATTCCGAGTGCACAGTGGGCGGAACGGGCAACCGACGTCCAGAAGCTACGGAACGCACCCGGCCGAGCACACGTCGAGAGCAGAACCGGCGGGGGGCTGTTGCACCGGCACCGCTGCGAATGCCACTGCCGAGCGAATGTGGCGCAGAGCTCCTCGAGCGGCTTGCCTGCGAGGGCAATCCTCGAGCGCCCGAGCTGCGGCGCCCACACTGTGGGGTCCTCTCCCGATTTATCCTCCTCCTCCTTCTCATCCTCCTCCTCCCTCTTATCCTCCTCCTCCTCATCATCCTCATCATCATCAGAATCATCATCACCATCATCATCATCATCATCATCATCATCATCATCGTCATCATCATCAGCATCATCAGCATCGTCATCATCATCAGCAGCAGCATCATAGTCACATTCATAATCATCAGCAACAGCAGCATCACCACCATCACCATCAGCAGCATCATCTTCAGTATCATCGTCCTCATCAGGATCATCATGATCACCATAATCATCATCAGAAGCATCAGCATCATCATCATAATCATCATCATCGTCATCATAAGCATCATCAGTATCATCATCAGCATCATCATCCTCATCCTCATCATCGTCATCGTCCTCGTCTTCGTCCTCGTCTTCGTCCTCGTCCTCGTCCTCGTCGTCCTCTTCCTCCTCCTCCTCCTCTTCCTCCTCCCTCTCCTCCTCCTCTTCCTCCTGGTTCCTGGTTCCTGGTGGCCTGAGGGTTCGCTCTTCCTCCTCCTCCTCCTCGTCCACCTCTTCCTTCTCCTCCGCCTCCTCCTCCTCATCCTCCTCTATTCCTTTTCTTTATGAAGAGTTTCTCGGTGTCGCACCCCGAGGCCAGTTGCACGAGTTTCACGGATTGAGGGCGGGTCGTTCAAAATGTGGCTCTCGCCTCAGCGCCGCACATTCGTTTATATATATAGAGAGAGAGAGAGAGAGAGAGAGAGAGAGAGAGAGAGAGATACGACCACCCTGCGGGTGATAAGGAGGTTGGGGGGGGAGGGGGCCAGCAATGGGCAACAGTGGTGATTACTATCGATCTCACTATCGATATCACGATCGATCTCACTATAGATTGCACTATCGATCTCTCACTATAGATCTCACTATCGATCTCACTATCGGTCTCATAATCGATCTCACTATCGATCTCACTATCGATCTCACTGTCGATTTCACCACGGGACACCACGGGACAACGACGGGACACCAGCAGGACACCAGCGGGACACCAGCGGGACACTGGCGGGACACCGCGCGCCACCGGTTGCCGGGCGGAGAACCTTTTGGTCCGGCCGCGGCCCAGCCACGACGGGACACAGGCGGGACACCAGCGGGACACCAGCGGGACACCGGCGGGACACCGCGCGCCACCGGCTGCCGGGCGGAGAACCTTTTGGTCCAGCCGCGGCCCAGCCGCAGGAGAATTTCCTATCCCCCGCCCACGCAGCTTCGCCTCGCCCGCACGCACGGCACGAACACGAAACCGAAATCGATTTCCCGGTAGGGGGGCTCTCCGTTCCACTTCGATCTCACCCCCCAACCTTTGATGCATGTACAAATGCAATCGGTTCGCGGATTAAGGCGGATCGTTTTCATAATGTGGCTCTCACCTCAGCGCCGCGCACACTCGCTTTTTAAAAATTCCCAGAGCTTCACGTATGGAGGGCGGCTCGTTTTCAAAATGTGGCTCTCGCCTCCACCGCGCACATTCGCTTTAAACAAAAAATGTATATAGATATATGTGTGTATGTATGCAACAGTTTCACGGAATCCCACGATCACTGCACCAGAAATGTTATTCTGGAAAGGCTCAGGATTCTGAGGGTGAAACAATTAATTTGATTCGCTGCGTTGAAATCTCAGGAATGGTGTTCTTGCCCGATTCAAGGCCGTCACAACGCAACAGTCAGGTTGATCCGTGGCATTGGAATCCCGTAAAAAATGTTTTAGCATGCTTCAGCGTCTTCTGACGGTTGTCTTCCAACGAGGCAGTTCCCTGAGTGGAAATGAACCATTGCAGGGGCCTGTGAAGAGGGAGCTTGGCGGGAGGGTTTATTCCGACATCGTTGATGACTCGTGGGTTTCCGGTGGTCGTCCTCCTTCTCCTCATACTCCTCCTCCGTCCTCCTCCTCGCTCGAGCGCCGCTGGGCACCCCGGAGCTGCAGGGTGTCCCGGGGGCAGCCTGGTCGCACTTTCAGAGCTGCAGGTGACATCAACCACAAAAACGTGCGGAGATCGCCTGGCACCGTGGCGTCGATGACGTCGGGCTCCACCCTCGCCGCCCACATCTCGCAGAGCAGCGACAGAGCCCAGTGCCACTGCTTGCCTTTGCCACAGGCGCTGATCCCTGCGTTGAAGCTGATGACGTTGGGCGCCAGCTTTGCCTCCCCCATCACGAGAAGCAGCGACAAGGCCCGCTGCCATTGATCGCCCTTCTCGCACGCGCTGATCCCAGCGCTGTAACTGATGACGTCGGGCTCCAGCTTCGCCTCCTGCGCCTCGATGAGCAGCGACAAGGCCCGCTGCCACTGCTCGCCTTTCTCGCACGCACTCATCCCTGCGTTGTAACTGTTGACGTTCGGCTCGACCTTTACGTCCCTCATCTCGCTGAGCAGCGACAGGGCCCCCTGCCACTGCTCGCACTTCTCACACGCGCTGATTCCAGCGCTGTAGCTGACTAAGGCTGACCCGTGGACTCACATCCACGACATCACGTCGGCACGGCCTCTGACGCTTACTGCTGCTTGCTGCCCATTGCTGCATCTCGCTGCCAGACGCTGCGGCATGCTGCTGCTTCCTGCTGCCTGATGATGGCTGCTGCCGATTGCTGCTACGTGCTGTTGCTCTCACCTCGCCATCGGTCGAACGTCCATTTCCTGTGCATTGCTCGATTTCGTGAGATTTGTCTCGATGATCCTAGATGCTCCTCGATGGTCCTCGACGACACACGTCCGAGCGATGCCACGTCACTTGCATGCTGCTGCTGCTTGATGCTGTTGCTGCTTGCTGATGCTCGCTGCTTGTTGCCGCTGGACAGCGACGGGTCATGGTGGCTGCCCCTGCTCTGCCTCTTCTGGAGGGCCTCGCAGCACGGCTGGAGTTGGGGCCTCCTGGGGCCTGCTCGGGGCGACTCGCCCCCAGCCCCAGACATGATCGCGTCGCGACAATTTCGGGACGCAAATTTTTCAGCGATTTCGGCCTTTGGAGGTCCTCGCCGGGCCCTTGGGCCGTCAAAAAACAACTCAGGATTAAAAACCGGTCCTGGGGAAAGGGTCGGGACTTCCGGAGACCGCGCATTGAAAAAATCAGGGCGTCGCATGTCTGTGGCGGCGTGGGCCGAAGATGTACGAGTGCGACCTCTGCTGCGAGCTGGTGCTCGAAGTTGTGGAGCCACGAGGTTTCGTGCCGCGTGGGCGGCGCAGCCTTGGGCCGAGAGGCGAGATGCGCTCCCTGGCCTTGTTTGGAATTTACTTTTCAAAAGTAGTAGTAGTAGTAGTAGTAGTAGTAGTAGTAGTAGTAGTAGTAGTAGTAGTAGTAGTAGTAGTCGTAGTAGTAGTAGTAGTAGTAGTAGTAGTAGTAGTAATAGTAGTAGTAGTAATATAGTATAGTAAGTAGTTAGTATAACAGTAGTAGTATTTAGTAGAGTAGTAGTATAGTAGTAGTGTAGTAGTCAAAAGAAGTAGTAGTGGTGGTAGTGGTAGAGGTAGTGTATTGGTAGTGTAGTGTAGTGGTAGTGGTAGGGTAGTGTAGTTGTAGTGAAAGTGGTAGTTGGTAGTGTAGAGGTTGTAGTAGTAGTAGTATAGTATTAGTAAGTAATAGTATAGGAGTAGGTAATAGTAGTAAGTAGTAGTAGTCCGTAGTCGTAGTCTTAGGTCGTAAGTCGTTAGTCGTAGTAGTAGTAGTAGTAGTAGTAGTAGCAGTATATAGAGTAGTTAGTAGTAATAGTAGTAGTAGTAGTAAGTAGTAGTAGTAGTAAGTAGTAGTAGTATAGTAGTAGTAGTAGTAGTAGTAGTAGTAGGGTAGTAGTAGTAGTAGAAGTAGAAAGTAGTAGTAGTAGTAGTAGTAGTAGCATAGCAGCAGCAGTAGTAGTAGTAGTGTAGTGGTAGTGGTAGTGGTAGTGGTAGTGGTAGGAGTGGTAGTGGTAGTGGTAGTGGTAGTGGTAGTGGTAGTGGTAGTGGTAGTGGTAGTGGTAGTGGTAGTGGTAGTGGTAGTGGTAGTGGTAGTGGTAGTGGTAGTGGTAGTGGTAGTGGTAGTAGTAGTAATAAGAGTAGTAGCAGTAGTAGCAGTAGTAGCAGTAGTAGCAGTAGTAGCAGTAGTAGTGGTAGTAGTAGTAGCAGTAGTAGTAGCACCAATAATAGTAGCAGTAGAACTAGTAGTGGTAGTAATAGTAGCAGCAGTGGCAAAAGTAGTAGTCGCCGTGGTAGTACTACTAGTCGTAGCAATACTACTACGAGTACTACTACTACTACTACTACTACTACTACTACTACTACTACTACTACTACTGCAAGCATCAATTATTAAAAGGGTAACAATAATGATAGTGGTAGTAGTAGTAGTAGTAGTAGTAGTAGTAGTAGTAGTAGTAGTAGTAGTAGTAGTAGCATTAGTAGTAGTAGTAGTGGTAATAGTGGTAGGATTCGCCGCAGTAGTAATAGAGGAAGAAAAAAAGAAATAGTAATAGTAGTTGTTGGTTGAAAAATACAAACAATCGTAACAACAACAATACGACTACGATTTCGACAAATACGAATAGTCGTGATAATGCGAAGGATAGTAATTAAGAGCACAGAAAATGGCAGCACGCATAAGAATAGCTGTAGTAGCCAAAATGAAATAGTACTAATACTAAGAGACAACAGATACGCACTCCGACGGTAGGACCCCACATGAGAACCCCCTCGGCGAATCTGGAAATAACCCTCATCGTCGTCCTCGTGATGTTGAGGCGTCCTCACTGTCTCCTTTTGCAATATTCTCCTCCTCGCCCTGGCGCAAGCAGTCCTCCCGCTCCCTACGTCGTCCTCCCCTCGCATTTGTGTTGTTTCACCCCCCGCCACCTCCGCCCCTCTCTTTCGCATGAGCGCGCATGTCGATTTTCCTTGGCGCAGTCGCTGCCTCGGCCAGCACAGGCGCAATGTCTAATTGCCGCATTGCGCCGCAGCCGTTGGGACAAACCTGCAGGCCAGGCCGTCGGGACTACCCCGCGAGCCGCTGACGCCCGAGACCAAGCCGTTGGGACAACCCCGCGGGCTTCGAGCGGGGCGCCGCCGCGCTCAGGCGGGGGGCAGCACGAAGCCCAGCTCGGACGATTCACTCACAAACGAGGTTCCCGCCTCATACTTCCCCAAGACGCATGCCTCAGGAGCAAAAAAAACGAGGGTTGCAGGTTTCAGATGACCCGCTCGGATTACTCATATGAGCTGGGCGTCCCATAGGCCCGCATGAGACGCCCTCGCAATTCACTCGCAGAAGAGGCTCCCACATGATACTTCCCCCGATCCAAGCTCCTGGAGCCCATGACGACGGTTACAACTTTCCGATGGCTCGCCTCTGATTCGAACGTGGATGCGAGCCTCATAGGGAAGGGGGTCCCGCCTGAGACTTCCTCCCACTTCGCTCACAAACGAGGCTCCCGCCTGATACTTCCTCCATACTCACGCCTCAGGGGCCCCAAAAAATACAACGGTTGCAGGAGGCCGATGATCCGCTCGGATTGCTCACATGAGCTGCGGGCCCCATAGTGAGGGGGCTCCCGGCGGTGACTTCCTCTCAATTCACTCGCAGACGAGGCTCCCGACTGATACTTCTTTCATATGCAGGCCTCAGGGGACCAAAATTGACGGGGCTGCAGGAGGCCGACGACCCGATCTGATTACTCACAGGAGTTGGGGGGCAGGTAGGAAAGGGTCTCCCGCCTGAGACTTCCTCCCAATTCACTCACGAACGAAGCTCCCGCCTGATACTTCCTCCAGATTCAAGCCTCAGGCGCCCAAAAGTGACGACAGTTGCAGAAGGCCGATGACCCGGTCGGATTACTCATATGAGCTGCGGGCCCCATAAGGAGGGGGCTCCCGCCTGTGACTTCCTCGCGATTCACTCACAGACGAGGCTTCCGCCTGATACGTCCTCAAAATCAATGCGTGCGCGTGTGAATGATGATGATGATGATGATGATGATGATGATGATGATGATGCTGCTGCTGCTGCTGATGATGATGATGATGATTATGATGATGATGATGATGATGATGATGATGATGATGATGATGATGATGATGATGATGATGATGTGAGTGATGATGTGAGTGATGATGTGAGTGATGATGTGAGTGATGATGACGATGTGAATGATGATGATGATGATGATGATGATGATGATGATGATGATGATGATGATGTGAGTGGTCATGATGATGAGGATGATGATGATGCCGATGTGAGTGATGATGATGGTGATGATGGTGATGATGAGGGTGGTGGTGATGATGGTGTGAGCGATTGAGTGAATGACGATGATCATGATGTAGTGAATGATGATGAGGAGGTTGATGGTGTTATGATGGCGATGGCTTGTGACTCATTGAGTGAGTGAGTGTGCGAAGGGAGAAGAGCTCGTGAGGTCTGTATCGACCCATTGACTGAGTGAAAAAGACGATGATGACGATGCTGACGATGATGTGTGTGAGTGAGTGGGTGGCAGGTGATGAGTGTGAGCGTGAGTAAAGTAGTGATGATGCTGAATGAATGTGAGTGTGTGGGCGAGTGAGTCACTGTGTAGGTGATGATGTGGTGGTGCTGGTGATGGTGATGGTGATGGTGATGGTGATGGTGATGGTGATGGTGATGATGATGATGATGATGATGATCATCATGATGATGATGATGATGATGATGCTGATGATGATGATGATGATGATGATGATGATGATGATGATGATGATGATGATGATGATGATGATGATGATGATGATGATGATGATGATGATGATGATGATGATGATGATGTGAGTGTGCGCGTGTGTGGGTGATTGAGTGTGTACGTGGTGAGTGATTGAGTGAGAAGAGAGGGGGTGTTCCTGCTCCTGTGCTCCTGCGCGGGGTGTCCAGAGAAAAAAAGGACCCTACTTTAAATACGATACATAAGAAAAACAAACAAAACAGAGCCATAAATAGTAGATCATAGCAATACTAAAATTAAGTCGGGCCTGTCCCCCTACAGGGGGATTTTGGACGAAAAGTAAAACATAGTCAAAAAATAACCCAAAATTCTCAAACATGGTCAAAAAAAAGTTCCTGTACTCTTTTAAATATTAATAAATATTCCCCCTGTGGAGGGACGGGCCCGCCTTAGCACTAAAGACAGCATAACAACAAAAAGTGCTCGAGAGGCCGCCTGGGCGCGCCAGGGCGCCCCCTGCGGCCCCCCGCGGGCCCTCCCCTGCCTGCACATCGCGTGGGGGGCGGGGGCCCGTGGGCGCCTCCGGGAACCTCCTCCTCCTCCTCCTCCTCCTCCTCCTCCTCCTCCTCCTCCTTCACCTCCTCCTCCTCCTCTCCCTCCCCCTGCCCCTCCACCTCCCCCCTCCCCCTCCCCTCCTCCTCCTCCTCTCCTCCTCCTCCTCCTCCTCCTCCTCCTCCTCCTCCTCCTCCTCCTCCTCCTCCTCCTCCTCCCTTCCCCCCCTCCTCCTCCTCCTCCTCCTCCTCCCTCCTCCTCCTCCTCCTCCTCCCCTCCTCCTCTTCCTCCTCCTCCTCCTCCTCCTCCTCCTCCTCCTCTCCTCCTCCTCCTCCCTCCTCCACCTCCTCCTCCTCCTCCTCCTCCTCCTCCTCCTCCTCCTCCTCCTCCTCCTCCTCCTCTCCTCCTCCTCCTCCTCCTCCTCCTCCTCCTCCTCCTCCTCCTCCTCCTCCTCCTCATGTGGCCTCGTGTGCACCTCGGGGCGGCCCGGGGCCCGACCCCCTTCCCAAACCCCCGCGGGCAACGAAAAAAGCATAACTAGGGGAACAACAAGTGACATAAACATAAAAACTCAGAGGTCCGCGCGGATTTCTCGGAACGGCGCTCGACCCCCCTCCCTGGCGCGCGGAGCGCGCCAGGGGCGGCACCGGAGGCGCCGCCAGAGGGCCCGAGCGCCGATCCGAGAAATCCGCGTGGACCTCCGAATTTTTATGTTTATGTCATTCTTCGTTTCCCAAATGGCGGGAAGCTCTTCCGTCCCCTCGGCCCCCGGAGGCCCTCCCCGGCCCTCGCGACCGTCCACAGAACTCAGCGCCCCTCTAACGGGGACTCCACTAACGGGTACTTTGGCCAGTGACCCTGCGAACCGAACCCTCCCCGATGTGGGCAACGCTGCACTGACACAGAGAGGCCCCAAAGTGGCAACGTTCGGCAATTGTCAAAAGCACCCGTTAGTGAGTACCCGTTACCCAGACCCCCGACGTCATGAATTTTTCATGACGTCGACCCCCAGCGGTCTGGACCCTTTCCCCGGGACCGGTTCTTCGTCCTGAGTCCTTTTTTGACGGTCCCGAGGCCCGGGAAGGGCCCCCAGAGGCCAAAAATAATGAAAAACCCCCCGTCGTGATTTTTTCATAACTCGAGGGGGTCTGGGTACGGCGCCGCTGAAGAGCGGCAATTTTCAAAAGTACTCGTTAGTGAGTACTCCAGATTTCGTAATAAAGGGAGGGGGGTCTCATTTCGGGGGGGGGGGGTCTCTTCCAGGCTATCTTGGAGGGCCTGGGGGGGTCTGGGGACGATGTTTTGGAGGTGTTCTCCCAGGGGGGGGGGGGGGGGGGGTCTATAAAACTTCTCGTCTGGGAGGGTTGAGACCCCCTCCCTTTTATTACGAAATCTGGAGTACCCGTTACGGCGCCGCCGAAGAGCGGCTCCGGGCGAGGGACCCGTCCCCGGGGAACGCGAACCCGCCTGCCGGGGGCCCAGGCCGCGCCCAAAAGTCCTGGCCGATCGGCAGCCGGGGCCCTCGGCCGCCCCGGGCGCCCCGTGGGGCTGCGCTGCGGCGCACGCCCGAAGGGCCCCGGCCCCTCTGGAGGGAGAAAGGAGAAGTAGGAGAAGCAGGGGAGAAGGAGAAGTAGGGCAGGGGGCGATATGGACTGCGGAGAGGGGGGAAGAAAAAGGTGCCCTCCTCGGGCCCCGAAGGGCCCCCGGCGCCCCTCGGGGGGCCCCGAGGGGCCCGGAGCTCGACGCCTCCAGGCGGCGGTGGTGGGTATAGGAGCCTGTTTGTTTTTAGACTCTGGCAAGTTTACTTGCATGGACGGGGGGGGGGCTGCGCCTGAAGCAAGCCGCAGACGACTTGCACGTTCTGGGGGGCGCGGAAATCACGCAGGTCGAAAGGCACTTGCACGCTAGTATTCGCTTGAAGAGGGGCGAGGAGTGGGGGGGGGGGGGGGGGCGAACGCCATGCAAATAAATTTGCCTGAATCCCAAAAAAACAGGCTCTAAGCCCTCCCGGGGGGGCTTACCAGCCTCGAACGGTATCCCTATCCGTAAGATTGGCACGCCAAAAGGCGATGGCAATCTTAGGGAGTCGCCCTCAAAAAATAAGGGAATCCCTGAGATTGACTCGTGATGAGGAGGTGCCCAGCATAGGGATAGGGATCTGTTCCAGGCTGGTAAGGGGCGGCCCCGGGGGCCTTCCCAGGAGCTGCGCAGCTCATGGCGTGCTGGGCTGCCGTGGGAGCCTTGCCGGCCGCCTTCGGCCAGAGGGCAGGACAGCCACACCCAGGACGAGGACACCGGACAGGCGGAGGGCCACACCCAGAACGAGGACAACCACACCCAGAACGAGGACACCGGACAGGCGGAGAGCCACGAGGAGAACCACACCCAGAACGAGGACAACCACACCCAGAACGAGGACACTGGTCAGGGAAGGAATCGAACAGGGCAGGACTGCTTCGGAAACGCCCGGGGCCAAGGACGCCAGCAAAGGGGGGTCGGGATGGATGCTTCCCTCCTGGAACTCCTGGGCTTCGGAAGCCGCTCGGGCCCGGCGCGGCCGACGAGCGCACGGAGTGGCGGCGCAGCCCCCGCGGAGCCACGCAGCCGGCAGCGCGCAGGACAGCCAAGCGCCCATCCCGCACCGCGGGCCTCCATGCCAGCCGCCCCGCTGGGCGCAGCGGCGGCGGCCGGCCGGCTGCAGGGCGCGCGAGGCTGCGCGGCGGCACCTGCGCCGCTGGCGCCCGCTCCCGGAGGGAGAAGAACAAACTGCCTGACGCACAGACTGTGGATGCCATGACAGTGGACACCCTAACAATCCGATCCTTGAATTGGCAGTGCGTTTACGTGGCTTGAACATGTTCTTTACCTGTTGAAAGCATGTGCCTTACACGTTTATGATGTGTTTAAAACAGAGTCCCCAATCAGCGCTTGCACTGAAGGGGTCCCAGCGGAGGTTGAAAGATTTGGCGAAACTTTCCCGCCGATTTTGGTCGCAGGCTGGGTTCCCGGGTTCACGGTTCCGGGTTCCCGGGTTCCCAGGTTCCTGGTTCCGGATTCCGGGCCGATTTCGGTGGGCGGCGGGGCTCCCAGGTTTCTGGGTTCCTGGTCGATCTTCTTATCGATCGGTCTCGCCATCGATCCCATTACCCAGTTCTCTATCGATCTCATTATCGATCTCACAATCGATCTCACTATCGATCTCACAATCGATCACACTATCGATCTCACGATCAATCTCACTATCGATCTCATTGAATCGACTTCACTGTCGGTCTCACAGTCGACCTTACAGTCGTCCTATTGATCGATCCCACTATCGATCTCACAATCGATCTCACTGTCGATCTTACGATCGATCTCACTATCGATCTCACGATCGATCTCACTATCAATCTCATTGAATCGACTTCACTATCCGTCTCACGATCGACCTTACAGTCGTCCTCTTTGTCAATCCCACTATCGATCTCACAATCGATCTCAATATCCATACCACTAATTTTCAAACCATCCACTGATTGGGGTTTCTCTCCTGTGTAATTTTAGACATCTGGAAATGGTTTGGCAACATGCTTCCTCTCCGTTGGTCGTCGTCCACAGCACACAGACTTTCGAAGGCCCTCGCGGAAATCTCTCGGGTCGGTGCCGGACCTCCTCGGCGGCGCCCTCGTTCGCCGCCACGGGATGGAGGCCCCGCTCGGGCCCGAGAGACCCGCGCACTCCAAGCGACGAGACGACGTCGGGCTCCAGCATCGCATCCGACATCTCCGCGAGCAACACCAGGGCCCGCTGCCACTGCTCGCCCTTCCCGCACGCGCTGATCCCGGCGTTGCAGCTGGTGACGTCGGGGTCCACCCTCGCCTCCCTCATGGCGACGAGCAGCGACAGGGCCCGCTGCCACTGCTCGCCTTTCTCGCACGCGCTGATTCCGGCACTGAAGCTGATGACATTGGGCTCCACCTTCATCTCCCACATTTCGTGGAGCAACGACAGGGCACGCTGCCACTGCTCGCCCGTCACGCAAGCGCTGATCCCAGCGCTGTATGTGATAGCGTCGGGCTCCAGTTCCACCTTCAAAATCTCCCTAATCAAAACTAGCGCGTGTTGCCACTTCTCACCCTTCTCGCACGCGCTGATCCCAGCGTTGCAGCTGATGACGTTGGGCTCCACCTTCGCCACCAACATCTCGCTGAGCAGCGACAACGCCCTTTGCCATTGCTCGCCTTTCGCGCACGCGCTGATCCCAGCGCTGTAACTGACGACGTTCGGCTCCAACATCGCATCCGGCATCCCCCTGAGCAATGATAGTGCCTGCTGCCACTTCTCGCTCTTCTCACACGCGCTGATCCCAGCGTTGCAGCTGATGACGTCGGGCTCCAACCTCACCTCCCATATCTCGCAGAGCAGCCTCAGGGCCCGCTGCCACTGCCCGCTTTTCTCGCACGCGCTGATCCCTCCGTTGTAAATGACTAGGGCTGACCTGTGGACTTACGTTCACGAAAGCTTCCAGGGGCTGCCTGATCTCATGCCACCACAAACTAGCTCGAGGAACTCGCCCAGCGATGTACATCAGCCGGGCTACACAACACTCCAAAGACATCACAATCGGCCAGATGATCTGCACACTCATTCGGACATTCCCGAGCATGGCTTTCAACTTCTTGAGGACAACATGACAAGCTACCGTCCTCGACTGCTTCATCGCATGCAAATGTGAACCTCCCATGCCCGTGTCACTGTTTGCGTACTGTCCCGCTTGCATGGCTTCTGGCATGTAAGCATGACAAGTTCTTGCCTGCTTGTGTGCTTGACGGCGTGCCTGATGGCATTGCTTACTCGTTTGCTCGCTGCCGCTTACTGCTAATTACTTTGTGCTGCGCCCTGCCACTTCGTTGTTTCTACCTACTGTGTGTTGTTACTGTTGCCGCGTGCTGTTTCCTGGCCCTCGCTGCTGCTTGTTGAAACCTAATACCGCTGATTACTGATGTCTGGTGCTGGTCGGTGCTGCTCGCCTACTGCTGCTTGCTGCTGAGTGTTGCTGAAAGCGCTAATGCATGCGGCTGCTGCTCGCTGCTGCTGGCCACTTCTGCGTACAGCTGCAGGCTGCTGTTTGATCGTCCCGCTTGCCGATGCTGCCTACTGCTGCTGCTTACTCATGCTGCCTCTCTGCTGCTTGCTGCTGCTGGCTGTTCATGGCTGCGCATGGCTGCTGCTGCCTTTCCTGCTGGTTCGAAGGGCCCTGCAGGGGCTCTGACGGGCCGAAGCGAGGGCTTCGGAAGGCCCTCCCGGGGCTGTCTTGGGGTTCTCTTGGGGCCGCTCCAGCAGTCATGGCCCCCTGGGCGGCCCTCTCGGGTGCTCCCAAACATGCCTGGGGCCCTCTACAGGCGCTCTTCGGGAGACTCTTCATGGGGGGGGATCCCATGGGGGGATAGGATCCCAGGGGGGGGGGGATCCCATGGGATCCCCCCCCCCCATGGAGAGCCTCCCGAGCTCTGGCACGGTCCTGGGGCTGGCGTGGTGCCGTCTTGGGCCGTCTTGGGAGCCCCGTCGGGCGCCCTGGGGACCCCCCCTGGGGGGCCGCCCGGGGGCCCTCTTGTGGGCGCGCTGGGCGACTCCGAGGCACTGCCGGAGTCCGGTGGAGGCGAGAGCGTAGAGAAGCGAGACGCTCTGAAACGCGTGTGGGCACTTGAACTGGGGGGTCTATCTGGGGCCATCCTCGGGCGCATCTGGCACATCTGGCAGGGCCTCGCGCGCCTCTGGGCGCCTCTGTCTGGGGCCGGGCCGAAGAGGCCTGGAGTTTGCCGAAGAGCCCAGATCGGCGGCGTGGCCCGAGAACGACATCCAGGGCGGGGCGGAGCCAAATGCGCAAATTGTGATCATCGCACCCGCGAGCCCCGGCAGTGTGGTACAGATGACGTCGGGCTCCAGTTTCGCTCCCCACATCTCGCTGAGCAGCGACAGGGCCCGCTGCCACTGCCGGCCCTTCTCGCAGGCGCTGATGCCGGCGCCGTAGCTGATGACGTCGGGCTCCGCCCTCGTCTCGAGCGTACCGCTCAGAAGCCGCAACGACCAGTGCCACTGCCTGCCTTGACCGCATGCACTGACAATCACGGTGTAGTGCCCTTTGCCGCTGTTCACTCCCGAGTCGGACGCTTCGCGGAGCCACTGCAGGGCTCCGCCCCATTGCCTCGCCCTCCCGCGCACCCCTAGGGCCGCCTCGAGAGAGCCCTGCCGAGATCTGCAGCGGACGTCTGGCATCCCATGGGGGCCTGCGGCTACAGGGGCTTCAGCAGAAACGGAGGCGGGACGGCAGCCGGAGGGGGAGGGCGATGGGGGCGGAGGGCACAGGTAGGGGTCGGGTGATGTTGAAGGGAGGGCGGGGGCGGGGGCTGGGGGGAGATCGAGTGGAGGGGGAACGGGAACGATGGCTGGGGCGGTGTGCCGGGGAAACAGAAGATGAAAGCCAGGGACCCAACCAGCCGTAATGAGCAGGAAGCACTCACGTAGTACCCACGGCAGAGGAACACTGATCGTAATGACATCCCATCGCTTGGCGAAAACATGAATGCTGAACGCGTGTCTTTCATACGTAACGTGCTGTATTGGACTCCCCTGCCGCCTCCACACACACACACTCTCTCTCTCTCTCTCTCTCTGGGGAAATCCCGCACCAAGAGCTGGGAATACGATAATCATCGATCAGGGAACGAGACTGGCAGGCAAGCCCATGGCAGAACCGAGCACGCGACCGAACGGAGCAGTGCAGGCAAGACCTCACCCGGAGCACGGGCGAGCGCAGAGCTGAAATTCCTGGTGCCCGCTCCACCTCCTCCTCCTCCTCCTCCTCCTCCTCCTCCTCCTCCTCCTCCTCCTCCTCCTCCTCCTCCTCCTCCTCCTCCTCCTCCTCCTCCTCCTCCTCCTCCTCCTCCTGCTCCTGCTCCTGCTCCTGTTCCTGCTCCTCCTCCTCCTGCTCCTCCTCCTCCTCCTCCTGAATCCCGTTTCGGCGCTGCTCGCCCGTGCGCACCGTGGGGTGCTTTGAGAGCACATGTTCATCCGCGGCGACAACGGGCTTTCTCGAGGGGGGCGGGGGGAAGCGGCCTAACGTAACGCCCCCCCCCCCGCCCGCCCCGTGGATCTGGCACCACGGACTGGTGGTGCCAGACGCAAGGCGGCAGCGCCGGCGACGC